CGGTTGGCGGGGGTCGGCGGGGGCCTCGAGGGTTCTCTCCACGGCACTTGGAGGGAGTACGAAGGCCCGACAGTGGGGGGGAGAAGGCAGAGCAGCAGCAGCAGCGGCAGCACCATCAGTGCGCTGGTTCTTCCTGGGCTGGTGCACACCGCTTCAGGACAAGATGTTGCTTCAGCAGATGATATGTCCTTACCTTTCAGTCGCAATCGCACGTGGTGCACTATTGCGGGCACCGCCCAACAAAGGTCGCCAACGTCATCCATCGTGGCGCCGTACGACCAGCGCACCCGGCTCTACCACCGCAACAGCCTCGAAAGAACGTTACCAGCGACGATGGCCTAGGAAGCCAGAAGACGACGTGGTGGCCTGTCTTACCCCAAGCCCTGCCTGTCCCGGGCACCCTCTAGATAGCTGCTGTCCTGCCCCATGGTTCGGGAATGATTGCGGTTGGCGAGGACAAGGAGGACGTCCCCGGAGATCCCCAAAGGTCTCCAAAGATATCTAGAGGGCCGTAGACACCTGGAGGACCAAAAGTAGCGAAACAACATCCAGAGACCTGTATCCTTGCTGCTCTCCAGTCCTTGAGCTGCGCAGACATTAGCGGATTGGCCATTGCGTCGTAAGGCCATTGCTGAGTCAGCAGAAAAATAGCATCAAAGCAGTGGAGTACGATTCACGGCAGGCACAGGCGGCGAGCAGCGGTGCGAACGCGAGCGGGGGGAAGGGAACGACAACTGCGAAAAGCCGGAAAACTAGAGTATGATGCTGCGCCCGTGTGGGGCGAAGTCTGAAATATCTTGGTCGTCGTCGTCGTCGCTTGGGTTATCGCCACCGCTGGCGTCGCCGCCGCCGTGGTCGTTGGCCTCCTCTTCCTCCTCCTCCGCCTCCTGCTCCTCCTCCTCCTCCTCCTCCTCTCCCCCTCCCCTCCTCCCTCCTCCTCCTCCTCCTCCTCCTCCTCCTCCTCCCCTCCTCCTCCTCCTCCCCCTCCCCCTGCCCATCCCCCTCCTCCTCCTCCAACTCCTCCTCCTCCTCCTCCTCCTCCTTCTCCTCTTCCTCCTCCTCCACTTCTTCTTATTATGAGCAAGTATTATTGTTACCATGTGTACTCGTATTACTGCTACTGTTCTTATCATTAATAATACTACTATTACGAATAGTCTTGATACCAGTATTACTTTTAGTGTGCTTCGTACTCTTATTAGTAGTAGTATCATGATGAGTAGTCTTCTCAATATGAGTATTAGTATTACTTTTGTTATGTGCATGAATATTCTTAGTACAAATATTCTCATTAAAAAATTGAACAATAGTGTTTTTGCTAGGTTGATCTTCGTATTCTTAGCAATGACAGTATTCGTAGAAGTGTCATCATTGGTATCATTCATAAGATTCGTCGTAGTAGCGTTCCTAATAATGTTGTTCGTAGTATGCTTATGCTGCTGCGTGATTATTAGCCGTAGTAAGAGTTAGTCGTCTTCTTCTTGGTTGTAGCACTAATTCTAAATTATGAGTCGTAATAATATGCTTAGTTGTATAAAAAATGAGTCACCTTTGTAGTAGCCGAATACGTCTATATGTATCCATAAGTCAACCTCTGCGTATCCAAATACGTCTAGATCTACGTATAAGTATACTTATATGTATGCGTTTACGTATACGTATATGCCTACGTATACGGTATATTCCTCCTCCTCTTCCTCCTCCTCCAACTCATCCTCCTCCTCATCCAATTCCTCCTCCTCCTCTTCCTCCTCCTCCTCCTCCTCATCCTCCTCCTCATCATCCTCCTCCTCCCCCTCCTTCTCCTCCTCCTCCTCATCATCCTCCTCCCCTTGCTATTCCTCCTCCTCCTCCTCCTACTCATCCTCCTCCGATTCCGCCTCCGCCTCCTCCTCCTCCTCCGCCTTCTCCTCCTCCGCCTCCGCCTCCGCCAGCGCCTGCGCCTGCGCCTCCGCCTCCGCATCCTCCTCTCTCCTCTCCTCCTCCTCCTCCTCCTACTCTCCTCCTCCTCCTCCTCCTCCTCCTCCTCCTCCTCCTCCTCCTCCTCCTCCTCCTCATCCTCCCCCCCTCCGCCTGCGCCTGCGCCTACCCCTCCGCTCCGCCTCCGCCTCCGCCTCGTCCTCCTCCTCCTCCTCCGCATGCGCCTCCACCTCCTCCTCCTCCGCTCCGCATCCGCCTCCTTTTCCTCCTCATCCGCCTCCTCGTCTTCCTCCCCTCGCCCTCCTCCCTTGCTGCTCCTCCTCCTCCTCCCCTTGCTCCTCCTCCTCCTCCTCCTCCTCCTCCCCTCCTCCTCCTCCTCCTCCTCCTCCTCCTCTCTCCTCTCTCCTCCTCCTCCTCCTCCTCCTCCTCCCTCTCCTCCTCCTCCTCCTCCTCCTCCTCCTCCTCCTCCTCCTCCTCCTCCTCCTCCTCCTCCTCCTCCTCCGACAGTCACGCCCTGAGGGGTACGGCTGCACCTCCGACAGTCACGCCCTGAGGGGTACGGCTGCACCTCCGACAGTCACGCCCTGAGGGGTACGGCTGCACCTCCTCCTTCCTCCTCCCTCCTCCCTCCGACAGCCACGCCCTGAGGGGTACGGCTGCACCTCATCCCTCCTCCCCTGCCCCCTCGCCCCCTTCCTCCGACAGCCACGCCCTGCGGGGTACAGCTGCACCTCAGCCTGCCCCCTCCCTTCACACTTTTCCCCCACCGTCCTCTCCCCTCCCCCCCTCCGACGGCCACGCCCTGCGGGGTACGGCCGCACCTCTGCCTGTCTTGCCGCCTCCTCCCTTCTTCCCTCCTTCCTCCGACTACCACGCCCCGCGGGGTACGCGTGCACACCCGCCTACCTCCCTCTTCCCTCCTCCGTGGATGCCCTCCTCCCCCCCTCCTCCTCCCCACCTTCCCGCCGCTGCCTTCCAGGCTCTAAGGGGGGTCGTATTGAGGGCAGTGCACTTCCCACGCGCAGGCGGCGAGATGGCAGGTCGCGGTGCTCGTGAGCGGTCCCGTTCGCGCTCCAGGTCGCGCAGCCGCCCGCGCACCCGCCGCCACAGCCGGGGGGGCCGCGACCCTGCGGCGGAGCGGCACAGGGGCGCCCGGCACCTGAGGTCGGGAAGCCGGAGGTCAGGCTGGGACGTCGAGGAGGTCGGGGCGCCGCGCAGCCTTTACTTGGCCAGCGAAGTCTACGGACGCGAAGGCACCCTTGGTTCGGGAGCCCCCCGGCCGAAGTCCGAGGGCATCCCAGGCAGGGCGCCCCAGCAGCCTGCGCCGCCGCAGGGCGCGCTCCTCTTGCAGGCGGCCTTCGTCGACGGCGCCTCGGTGCGCTTCCTGAGCCTCGGCGGGGCGGAGCGCTGGCGTGTCGCGGCGGCGCCCGCCACTTCGCTCGCGGAGGTGCGCGACCGGCTGGCGGCCGAGTGGCGCGCGGGCAGGCTGGGCGCCGGGCTCACGCGGGTCGACGCCATCCTGCCCGAGGGGCGACTCCTCAGCGAGGCCCCTGGGGAGGAGACCGTGGAGGCCGCCTTCGGCCCCCTCCGCGCATGCGGGCTAGACTTGGCAGCGTGCGGCGCGTGCGACCAAGGCTGGGCCCAGCTGGCGAAGGGCGGCGCCGCCACCGAGCAGAAGGTGGCCGCCTCCCATTTGGACGTGGCCCCGCAAGCACCCCCTTTCCCGGGGAGCCTCACCGAAGACCAGTGCCTCCAGCAGCTTGCGTGGTGGCAGCACGTGCGCCAGAGCCAGGGGGCCCTGGCGGCGACAGGGGCCGCGCCTGCCACGGCGACACTGCCACCTTGGCGCGGGGGGCCCCTGCCAGAGCGCCAACAGCTGACGGCGCCGCCACAGCCACAACAACCGCAGCAGCAACCTGAGCACACGAAGCACGAGCCCCCGCCGGCGTTCCCGCCGCTCTACCTGGGCGCCGCCGCTCTCGCGCCGACCCCGGGCGCCGCTGCTCTCGCGCCGACCCCAGGAGGGCTGCCGCCGCTGCAGGCAGGGGGCCACTTGGCGCCCACGCACCAGCCAGACCAGCAGAAGCAGGAGGCGCACCAACAACAGCTCCTCCTCCAGCAGATGCAGCAGAACGCCGCCCAGCTGGAGCCCCCCAGCCAGCAGGAGCAGCAGCAGCCTCCACCGCAGCAGCTCTCACCGCTGATGCGGCTCCCGCAGGCGCAACTGCAGGGCCTCCCGGGCAGCAAACTTGGCGACCACCCGAGTATGCCGCCGCCCTGGGACGCCGCTCGCGCCCTCGCCCATCAGCAGGCGCAGCCGCAGACAGCAGCGAGCCCCCTGTCGACCGCGCGCCCAGAGCCGCGGCAACCGCCGCAGCAGCTGCTGGAGCAGCAGCTGCTGCTACAGAAGCAGGCCGACACGCAGCAGCCGAACCAGCACGCTCCGCTGCCACGCGGGCAGAAGGCCCTGCCGAAGACCGTGGCCCCCCCAGGCCCCGGGCACACCGCACCAGGCTCGGCACCGCCCCCGTTGCTGCCGCCGCCGCCCCGAGCCCAACTGCCCGGGAAGCAGGGGAAGCCGCGCGAGGCGCTGGCGCTCGCCGCCGCGGGCGCACGCGGCCGTGGCTCGGGCTCGCCGGCGGGCAACTCCTTCCTCGCCGCGTGGCAACTCGGCGGGCAGGCGGCGGCTTGCGCGAAGGGCGCCTTCACCTTCGGCGCCCTGGCGCCGAAGGCCGACGTCCCGACTGAGCACCAGAAACATTTCGCGGGCGGGGATGGCGCCCGGATGGCCGAGGCCGGGGAGGACGTCGCGGCGCTCGCCGGCTCAGCCGAGGAGGACGACCTCCTGACGACGGAACTGGCGGACCGCGTGCGCCAGGCCCTCTCCGAGGCGGAGCAGGCGGGCGCCCCGCCGGACGCGGCCTGCGAGGCGGTTAAGCAGGCCGTCGCAGCGGTGGAGGGGAAGCTGGCGCGCCGCGGCGGCGCGGCACCAGCAGCCGCGGCGCCGGGCACAGCGGCGAGGGCGGACGACGCCGTCGCAGCGCCGACAGCGGAGCAGACCACCTTGCATGCGCAATCCT